TGATTGTAAGGCGTCGACAGGAGTAAGTGGAGCTTCGCCAGTTTCTTTTTACATTCGTTTATTTTTAGGTCACTTAAAAAATGTCATAAAAAGGAGTAGAAAATATTGTAAAGCCGTTAAACGTAACAAAAAGAGCCACAACCATCGCCATCTGAAGTCATACAGCTTCATCGACACTATACATGTTTGAGAGCAAGCAATACTTTTAAATGACGCATTAGTTGGATAGAAGAACAGACATTGCCAAATTTAGAATATGTCTGTCTTGTTAAATACGTTGGAAAACTTCCTGGATCATATCCACATGGAAACAGCAACAAACCAAAGAAACTTCGCAGATAATGTTCAACAAGTCAGTTATGTTCTTTATTATCACCCCTTTTTACAGAGTTTAGAGCAGACAAAGAATAAAATTCCAAATGTAATTCTTTATTTGGAAGAAACAATACAGCAAATGAAAGCTATGTGTTCAAGTGCTCGTCCATCAGTCATTGGGGTTGAACTTTTAATCTAGGAGAAGTTTATGTTACTGTTACAGTATTTAAAATGCAGGTTGTAGTCCGCAAAGATCTTCAAGTGAATCCAATCTTCATTGGGCCATTATTCCTGCATGGTGATGCATTTGATGGTACATACGCTCATTTCTTCACACATTTACGGAATAAATTCAAGGAAGTGTCATGCATAACTGAAAATTTTATTTTCTTGTGTATCTGACACATAAAACAAAATGTGGAGTCATATCTGGCAGACAAAGTTAGACTAGAAAAAGAAATGCGTCAAGTGGTTATGAACGGTTTGTTTCCAAATCAAGATGCAGTTTTGTCAGACAAATCGATAGTATTTGAAGAACGAAAAAGGTTTGTCCATAACATTGACAAACAATAATGCCGAATCAGCCAATCACATTCTGAAATGTGCAGTTAAATGGAAACCGAAACCACTAATTGAACTAATTACAAAAATTTGGAATCTAGTACGAGTTCAACAAAAAGTGCCATGTTAATGCTACTTACAACCTCATAACCTACATTAGTAAAAAAATTTTTTTGTTTTACAGGATCTGCAGCGAGCTATTACTAGCACTGGATCATTTATTCTGGCACAGGAATACCAACAGCATGTTATTTCTCCACAACAATGGTCACAGATGTCAACTAAAGACAAACATAAAGCAGTGAAAAAGATATTCTATACGAGAGTACCAAGCACAATGTAAACATCAACTGACAGAAAACTCAAAGTTTCTATGCCCAAGGGCAGTAAGAAACCAGGTCAAAGGAAAAGGCAAACAGCTGAACGAACAATTACAATGCTGAAACAGCAAAGAAAAACATGCTTTGGCAGCAGAAAACTGGGTTGTCTTTTTTAAATATAACTTTACGACTTGTAAATAATAAAAAATTAACAGATGAGTAGCGCACCCAAGAGGGCCCAATTTCTAATAAATTTTCAGAAAAATATTTTTTATACAACTGATTTTATAATATGCGGCATGCCCTTAATTTGGATTTCTTTTAAATAGTTGCATGTTAGTCCATAAGCCACTGTTGCAAATATCTTTATTTTTCAATTTATTATCAATATGAGTCAACAAATTTGAGTGATAATTTCAGTTAATAATTTCAATTGATTAGATTTATTAAACTTGATCCGTACGTTATTTTGGTATATTTAGATTTAATTATTTGTCAATAATATCGCATGTTATCTTATCGGTCAATAATTTAAATAGATTAAGTTTATTACAGTTAATTCCTACCTTAATATGGTTTTTTTGAAGTTATTTCGGGTTATTTTTGGTTAAATTATTTGTCCATCATATCGCATATTGTCTTATTGGTCAATAATTTGAATAGATTAAGTTTATTACAGTTAATTCATACGTTATTTTGGGTTATTTCAGGTTATTTTGGGTTATTTCAGGTTATTTCGGGTTATTTTGTCATTAAAACAAAATAACCCGTTTATCGATTGAAACGTTTTTAATATCTGAGCTGGTTCCATTTATAGTTACAAACTGTTGACGATCAGAAAGGTATGATTTGAACCACTCCAAGGAAATGCCACGTACACCATAATAGTTAAGCTTTGTGAGGAGAATTTCGTGGTCTATGGTGTCAAAAGCTTTTTGCAAATCGACTAAAACCCCAAAAGTAAAGTTGCCATTATCAAGAGCAACTCTTATACTTTCTGTAATTTCAACAAGAGCGTGAGCTGTCGAATACTTTTTGCGAAAACCAAACTGGTGTTTATACAAGCATTGATTTTGGTTTAGAAAGTTGTATAGCTTATTATGCATAACTTTTTCAAATATTTTGCTTACAGAAGAGATATTGGACGATAGTTAGTGCAGTCAACTGTAGATCCTTTTTTGTGAATCGGAATAATTTGAGCTAGCTTAAAGGTATCTGGAAATGCTTCTTTGCGAAATGAATTTTTTAAAATGATACTAATAGGTTTACATAGAGTTGACACCAATTCAAAAAGTTTTGTTGAAAAACTGTTTGGTCCAACATGATGATCTATAGTGCGAGTTTCAATTATTATTAATTCTACTCAAGCTCCAAAACAAAAGCATCAGGTATGTTGCTCAAAATATTTTTTTATCTTTAGTATTGTTTATTATGCATTCGCCTTATGCAAATGCGTTTTATTTAGCAAATTCAACTTTATAGTTTTATAAAAATTATTTTTATAAATGTCTTTATGATTAAGTATTTTATAAAATTTATCTGAAAAATGAAGCCGATTTTTAATTTTACCTGCTTATCTCTTTTATTTTAGATGCCTAAAATTGGTTGTTACAAGAAATGGCAATTAGGAAAAAAAGGTATTCCGAGAACAACTTGTTGGGGATTGTCAAAACTTGATTGTGCTCAACAAAAGAATGAGAGCACCTCTGACAAAAATGATTCAATTGATGAAGATTTTATGAATCAATTATCTGGCTTTGACGAACCAGAAAATGAAACAAATTCTAATGATTTTAAAGAAAATGAAAGTTCAGTGAGTCCACCTCTTTATCCTGGCTCAAAAATCAATGTCTCTAATGCATGTTTATGCATAATGACTTTTGTTTTGCGCTTTAATTTGTCAAATTAAAAATTGCAAAAGTTGTACTAATATTTAAAACCGGAGAGCCATCTTCTCTTAATAACTACAGACCCATCTCAATCCTACCAATCTTTTGTAAACTTGTAGAACGATTAGTTTACAACTATACAAATGCTTAACTAATAACAATATCTTGAATAAAATACAATTAGGATTTCAAAAGCAACATTCAACCGAACATGCGATATTAGACCTTGTAAATAAAATAAATGAATCTTTTGATAATAACAAATTTGTTCTGGAAATCTATATTGACCTATCAAAAGAATTCGATACTGTTGATCAGACTATATTACTTAAAAAAATGGAAAAATATGGCATTAAAAATTTTGCTTTACAATGCACACCCAGATAGCACACTTTATCTAGTTTATGTTGGCCCAACGTTATATGCCAACATTAGGCCAACCAAAAATACAAAACATGCGTTTTAAACAGTAATATTTATTTTAGTTTATTACCGTATGTTATATTTTACGTTTGGACATGAAAATCAAATAAATTATAATATTTGACAACCAATACAGACCGAACAAATAATATTTATTAATTTAGACTGCTGTTGGGCCAACGTTGGACCCAGGATGCGAACATTGATTCCTCAAAAGCAAAATAATAAAAATCGACGAATTGGGCCAACGTTGGCCCTTTCTTCAAGTTACAAAATACCCCGTGTCGTAGATACACGAAAAAAAATTAACCGATTTTTGACTTTTACTTAAATGGTTGAGGATTTTTAATGACATTCAAAAGTAGGTTGCCGATTTTCATAAAAATCCAGACCAAAATAAAATTTGCGCATGCGTTTTTATAGCCTACTTTTGGATGTTATTAAATATCGCTAACCACAAGGTTTTCTTTATTGAAAGATATTTGAAGCTTTTAAATTTGTTTAGTTATTCTAAATTGTATAATGAATAAAAGTATTTTTTCTCTTGATTTAGCACATTCAGTGGGTAAGATTTTATTTTTGATAGTTATTCTTACCTTTTCTAATCTTTACACTTTTACTTTTACTAAAAGTTTTTCAAATACTAGAATATCCAAAAAGGTAAAAGTATTTTGGTTTCAAATACAAAAATAGTTCACTAAGAATGAGTGTTGCATACTAATCATAAATACTAGCTTACAACTTTAGTTTTTCTTCTAAGCAATAAATATTCATAATTTTTTATTTAAAGAAATTAACAATGTTTAACAAATTATCCCACTTTTTAACTCATTAACAAAATTGTTTCATAATTATATATTATGTCATATATATTACTAAATTGTATAAGATAACATCAGTAAGCACCCGTTATACAAGTTATTAGTTATTAGTAATAAATAACAATACAATTTTATATATGAAAAGTATAATTAAATACAAATTTACATATAAACATTCTTTTTCGTTCTGCTCCCATTCAGCAATATTTTGACTTTTAGTTTAAAACATAAAAAGATAACATCTTTTTAAAATCAGTTAGGCACCAGAATAGGAAAACCTAGTAAAGTCTGCTAATACCAAATAAAAGAAGCAGAAATAAATTTACAATTTTCATTTACAAAAGTGTTATTTTACACTTGATTGTTAATAGAATTAAAACAATAATAGTATAAATAAAAATACAGAATAATAAAAAGGCAATACCTATATATCAGTCGAGCTCTATCAACACAAAACACAGCAACATTAGCAATAACATGATATTTGTTAGTACACATCCCATTTTGCTAAGTTAATTTCCAGAAACATGTTTAGGAAAGCCTTGAAAATACTTTAAAATGGTGAAAGATGATGGTAAATTTTAACTGTAGTATCTAATATTTAAAATATATGAGTTTTATTATTGTTGTTATCTTATTATTTAAAGTGTTTTCTTAAACATTATTTGCAGGCACAGCTATGTCACCCAAATCACCTGTAACTGTTGAAAAACACATTTTTTCGACATATGCAGATGTTTGTGCTAAAGTTAAAGAGCATGAAATGTTGCACACAGTACATTATGTCATTGCTCGCACAGGAAAGATGGAAAAAAACTTTGAAGGTTGATATTTAAAATTAGTTAAATAAGTTTTACTTTTACAATAAATCAACAATTTAATCTAATCTATAATATTTTTTGAAAAAATTGTGACAACTATTACTCAAAATTTGTTAATTTTTTACTTCATACCAGCTGTGTATTTTCCAATTTTTAAATTTAGAACTGTTAAAGAAAGATCACAAAGTTTTTTTTGAAGACAAAGACTTTTTCTCCACTGGTGTGCCATTCATTTTTTCAGGACATACTTCTCTTGACTGTCAACAAGGAATGGACAGAAACATTAGAGCAAAAGCTCAGTACAGAAAAAAGAAAAATGATGAAGCAGTATGTTACACAGTTCATTTTTAAAAAATTTTAGTTAACTTTATTTCCATTTTATGTTTGAAATTTTTATATTTATTATGTTTGAATATATTGTTTGAAAGTTTATATTATTTTATTTGTTAGAGGCAATGATTTTATTTTTAAACAAGTTTGTAAATTTAAAACAGATTTTATTGAATTTTAAAATTATAAATTTCAAATACTGTAGGATTTTTATTCATTTTTAATGTACAGGTTACCGACCATTGTTGCCAAAACAACAAAGTTATTCTTCAGGATACCAAAAAGTTTGATTGTCCAGCAATGGTTTATATAAAAGAAATAGTCGAATTTCCGGAGTTTGAGGTATTTTGCTGCTATTTATTCATAAGAAACATTAAAAAAAATCCTGTTTAAAATTATATTATCAGAATCATATTTATGATTAATTTTACTTGTGATATTGCTCTGATGATAATATATTATATTATCATTACAATTATATCACAAGTAAAATACTTTATTATATAGCTATATAAAATTATTTACCTAAAATATTTTAAATCACCCAAGAAATCTAGTACAGGATAAACATGTGTAATATATGTGTATGGAATAACTAAACAACACTATATAATTTTTGCATATAAATACCTTTTTACGTATGATTTTTATTTTTATAGCTAATAAGAGATTCATCATGGTTAAGAAAAGAAACTTCAAAAAAACTTCGTCTAGCCATGTTGGAGAAAAGAAATTTAGTTATGCGTAGAAAATATATTTTAGTATTGCCAGATATTTCTGCTCATAAAAACCATGCTACAGGAGATGTCAGTAACATTTTTTTGTTGCCTTTACTTTTTATCTTTTTTCTAATTATTTTATTGTTATTATTTTTTTGCATTTTGCTTTCACTTTGCTTATGACTGTTCAATACATTTACTATTAGGCAGCAGGTCTCTGTCAACCTATTTCTGAGGATCTGATTATAAAAATTGGAGAATTAGTAAAAAAGGGTGTCAACACTGTTCCGGAGATGAGGCGGCATCTTGATTTTTTTGTTCAAGCTCAATTTACTTTAAGTAATGTTCCTCACAAAGAAAACAAGCGTTACTTTCCATTGGATAAGACCATTCGAAACCATAAATGATAAATGCAAGAAGAAATTTCGGAGGTCTTTGATCGATCAAGAATGTTTGCTTGATAAAATTAATGAATGGAGAATCATCTCCAAAGAAGCCATGATAAAAATTAGACCAAAAGGTATCAGTATTCTGGAAGACAATGATCCACAGCTTAAGGATTCATTGTTGTTTGTATTCCAAGATAAGTGGCAAAGGAGACTGCTTTTGCGATATGGAAATGAGCTTATTTTCCTTGATGCTACATATCGCACAACAAGATATGCTCTTCCTTTGTTTTTTCTAGTTGTCAAGACAAACACTGATTATCAAGTTGTCGCGATTTTTGTATGCGAGATGAAACAACAGAAGCTATCACAGAGGCACTGATGTGCATTAAAAAATGGAATCCTTTATTTCAACCTAAATTTGTTTTAACTGATTATTCCAATGAAGAGATAAACTCATTAGAGTATGTGTTTCCAGGTAAGAATTTTTAGAATATGCGGTTGCATGAACTGTTTTTGCTTTTTTATTTAAAGTATTGTATTATTTATCTTTAAATTGAAATTTGCCATATCGCTTTATTTAGGATCAAATGTCTTAATTTGTGACTTTCACAGAGAACAGGCTTGGGAAAGATGGTTGTCAAAAATCACTAACGGATGTTCCTCAGTAAAAGAAGTAGTTAAGTTAAAACTTCGTCAAATTGCTAATTCAAAAACAGAAGAGATTTGCATAAATGCTGTAAATGCTTTCAAAGAGTCAGAAGAGTGGAAAAATCACCCAAAACTTCGAGAGTACTTAAAAAACACTTGGTTATGCAACCAAAAGGTTAGTAAAATGTTAATAAAAAATGACATCATTTTTGATTTTACTCGTTTTGAATATCCTTCCTTAGAATTTATTCTACATGTTATTAGTTTCTTTTTTGGAGAATTCCAGTAGTTTTTTTTACATTTTAATTAGAGATGGGTGTTTGCTTTTCGGCAACATCGCCTTTTGCGAAATGTCAACACAAACAATGGTACTGAAAGACAGAACCAATCTCTAAAATACAGCTTTTTGGAAAAAAGGAAAAACTCTTCTCTTACAGCTATGCTAAGTGTTTGCATTGATGAATTCCTTCCTCATAACTATAACAAGTTAGTCATTTTTACTTAGACCACTACTTTTTAGTTATACATTTAAAGTTACGTTGATATTATATAATTAATAACTGAGTCTAATATCACAAATTAAAACAGCAGCATTAAATATCATTGTAAGTTATTATATTTAAAAAAGCATAATGATACTATAAATAGGACTACTAGTGTCCATTTTAACATGTAAATTTTTTTTTTTTTAAATTAATGAGGCATGTTGACTTATTACTTTTTTTTGGTCTAAAAATTAATTGTGCAAAGCTTCAGGTTGAAAAAAATATTTAGGGGTTGCTCAAGCATATCAAAGTCTAGAATATTTTATGGTTTTGCCAAAAAAGTTTTCAAAACTAGAGTTTTTGTGCAGACTGTGTATTTTTTGTTGTGTTTAATCATTGCGTTTTATTATTAATTTAGAAATATTGTTGAAATTTCTTACTCATTCAGTAGATGTCAGAACTATACTTAGATTACTTCTAGAATAATTATTACATATTATTTTAAACACCCTTATTTGGTAATATTATAATTATTAATTACTGAATTAACTTTTTGAATGAACATTTCTTCATTCATTTTAATAGAATTTGTTTGCATAATTTATTGCAGGTCAAATAATTTAAAATAAAAAATGGTTACTGCTGCAATAAATATTTATAAAAAAAGCAAAGCAAAAACCAAGATTTGTATCAATTTAAGCATAGACTTGTATCAATTGTTTAATTTTATAAACCGTAATTATGTTATATAATAAAAAGTTATTAATTACTTTTGTAAAACTAAGTTGTTGAATAATTTACTTTTAAAAAACTAAAATATTAAATAATTACTTTTGTAAAACTAAATTATTGAATAATTTACTTTTATAAAACTATTTTCCCTGGAAAAGTTCTCATGTTCATACCTTTTTTTTGAACATGGCTCTCCTCAAATTTGTAATCGGAGATCAAAGTGATCGATTCCTTCCAAGAAATTGAAAATGACTCCAGAGTTGGTTTGTGCATTGGACCGTAGCAAATTTCCAACCAACGTGCTGTTCACATTTTGAATGCCTCAGCAGCAACACCTCTTAGCAACAGATCAATCTCCATGAGCTCAGTTTGACGTGCTAGGATACATAGCAGGGCCATCACAGCAGCCACTGTTAGGGGTTCCTTTATCAATGAAGTTCAACAGAAGGATACCTTTTTAGTATTACACTGGGATGGCAAGTTGCTCCCAGACTGTACAGGAAATGGAGATGGCTTAAAGGTGGATTGTTTGCCAATTCTTGTTTCAAGCCCAGATATTGAATTCAAGAAACTGCTGGCAATACTAAAGTTATCATCGAGTACTGGAGATGCCATGGCTAATGCAACTTTCAGGATTGTTTGAGAGTGGAAACTCAAAGGAAGAATCGAAGCTCTTTTCTTTGACACAACATCATCCAACACTGGAATCCATGCTGTTTTGTACCAATTAATAGAGGTAAAATTAGGCCGACTTCTGGTTCATCATGCATGCAGACATCACATTATGGAGCTGATTTTGGCTAAAGCCTTCAAATCAGTTATGCCTGCATCATCTGGACCATATATTCAACTGTTCGAACGCTTTTGAGAACAATGATCCTTTATCTCAAAAGATGAAATAATTGCTTTTAAGGATCCGAGAGTAAATGAGCATAAAGATTGGAAAGATGCTACCATAACCTCCATGCAGTCTAGCTTGGCTCAAAGAGTATACGTGATGGTTATGCTGAACTGTGTCAACTGTCATTGTATTTTCTGACGGGAGAATTATGTGCTCCAATCAGGAAGCCTGGTGCATACCATCACACCAGGTGGATGGCCAAAGCTATCTATGTGATGAAAATCTTGTTCTGGAAGCAAATGAAACTGAAGTGTCTCTCTTCATTATCTTGATTTACTCCAGGGTCTGGATAGAGGCTCAGAAAGCTTGTGAGGCGGTCGTCAATGATAAGGCTCTTCTAAATGATTTGGTCAGCTACAACAATGTGGATGAGAAGATTGCAAAAGCCACATTAACAACTTTCCTATGCCATCTATGGTAACTAGGTAGTGACCTTGTTAGCTTTTCACTTTTTTTGTAACTGTCTACTGATGAAAGAAAAGTCTACTGATGAAAAAAAAGATATTGTTAGAGAAATGAAGAAGGAGAAAAATATGGATCGAATTAAGTGGGTTTTAAAAAAACGACGATGAACCTCAGTGATTTTGCTTCTTCCGCATCCTTGCGATTTTTAAAATCTTTCAGAATTAAATAAAACCTTCTTGGAGTGACCTGACCAATCGGATGTTGATGAAAGTTTTCAGTAAGGGCACAGAAAGCTTGAGAAACTGAAAATTGTAAATGATGGGGCAGAGAGGGGAGTTGCAATGATTGCCACTTTCAATGATTCTTTGACAATGGACGAAGAGACAAAACAAGTGCTACTACAAGTTGTCGCGCACCATCGTCGTCTCCACCCCCTCAAATGACTTTTCTGACATTAATGAATGATGTGAATGATTGTGTTCTAGTTTCGTCACGTTTTTTGCATGTTTTGATGTTCAATAACTTTTTAGTGATTTTTAAATTTAAATTTGTCTTAAAATAAGTTTATTTATTTTTTCCTGCAATTTGCATTTTTTTTTATATGGTTCATTTAATGTATAGCTTGAAACATTGATAGCATTGAGCAAACTCTAAATATAGTCCAAACTATGTAATATTTTGCACAGTGGCTTTTTTGAACAAAATGAACATAACAAACATGCCTCTGAAATATATTAAGCTTGACTTTTTTGGACCACCCTAAGAACTACCACTTCCACCTCCCCACTCAATACATGTTATGTTCATATTAAAGAATGATTTAAAAGTACAACAATATTTAAACAAAGATTTTTTTTTAGATAAAAATAATATAAAAATAAATAATAAATGTGTATCAAGAAATTAATTAAGTTGTTTTAGTTAAAGTGGGCTTTTATAATTTGCTGTGCAACTAAATTTTATAAAATATGCATACAATTTACAGACTAATTTATTTTGAACACAATATGTGTTCAGGATTGGTATTCTCATTTATGTATTAGTGTAGCATGGTTTGCAATACTTTCTTTTAGTTATGCTGATAAAAACAGAAGAGCGCACTCATCTTATAGAAAGTATAATAGTAAGATTCCAGTATATTTAATAAACCACCCTCAACCTTTAGTAAAGCATTGCATGAACATGATAGATAAGCTACAAGGTTTAGACTTGGAGGGAATTAATGCTGTTACAGATAGATTGTACAATGTTGCATCATTTCAGTCAAATAGTAGAGAAATTTACCAATTTTTTCTTGGTGATGCAAAACACTTGCCAAGCTGTTCCTGCCCTTCTTGGTTTAGTAGCATATATCCATGCAAACATATTTTTGCAGTTTTCAGTAAAGAAAATCTTTCTTGGTCTGATTTTGATCCATCTTATGGCAATTCTCCATATTTCATCTTAGATCCATTGTTGAATAAAAATAATTACTCAACTTCATTTCATTGTCAAGATTTACCTGAAACTGTTAATTTATCTTTTAAAAAAAATCCTCTTGATAATGCCAAAGTAGTGAGTGACAACAGTGAGTTTGTACCATCAGAACATTGTCAGACATTACCAAATATTAATCATATACAGGCTAGTCATCATACACCTGCTGCATGTTGTGAACTCTTAAACGAAATCATAAAACTTACTCATTTAAGTAAATCTCAAACAGCAACAGATAACTTGTTTGAGGGACTTTATAAACTTAAATTAGTTAGTTTAATGTTTGAACAAAGTGCAATGAGGAATCATCTTCTAAAGTGTTTGCTAAACAACCGATTAGATGTCTTCCCAACTGCCATTAATCCTTCAATATCTAAAAGATGCCTAGCAAAGACTTTTCATCTTCTTTTACATTGCTCATGTAGAATGTTTTGGACCCTAGAAGATGAGCACATTTTTAACAGGTACATTGTTGAATATTTTTTTGACAAAACTGAATTGTATTCTAGTATATACTTTTAAGTTATTAAGTTATAGACTTTAATTATTTTATAAATATCTTTACAATAACAGAACAGATTGCTAATTAAAAAGAAACAAAACACAATAATAAGAGATCCGCTTTATATTTTAATTGTTCATTTACATTTAAAATATATACTGCATCTTTTTTTTACTTTTTTTTTATTTTATAAAAAATTATAAATCAAAATCTCTTTTTTTGTTATAAATTTATGATATAATCTTTAATGCATATTTTTAGGCAAATGGCTGAATGCAGTACTTGTTGCAAATGGTTTCATCGGGAGTGTGAAAAAATCCCACCAACTGCATATGTAATCTGGAACTGTCATGAGTGCCACAGGCAAGCATCGCAAAGATAAAGATTTGTTTGTTAGTTGATATATTTTTATACTATTTAAGGTAATTTTTATACCAGCCAGTTGTTCTATCACTTAGTTTCATTACTAGCAATTCATTTATAAAAATTCACATGTTATGCATATAGCTAAGTTTTGGTTTTAGCAACCGATCTTTTATTTTTTTGTTGCTAAAAAATAAATAAAGTTTTTTTTAATATTTTATTTTAACTGGTTTTTAGGTAGATTATTTTTCAGTATCTTTTTATTATTATCTCACTATTTTTTTAATATTCAAGACATAAAAAAAATTGTTTTTTTGTTGTAAGTAATGTTATTGTAAACAAAAGCCTTATAATATAAAAAAAATTTCCTTTCAAAAAGAATTTTTTTTTTGGTAATATTAATGCCTCGATAATTTTCCTATAAAAAGTTGATTGTGGATTTGGGATCATTTGATAATGTGTTTATTTGTGTTTTCTTACTATTGTATCACTAAGTGTTTATAAGTAAGCTCAACACCTTTATACGGGTTTGTTTGTATAAGAGTTTTTTTAATTCATTACAGATCAACGCCACCTGCTAACATCTACAGCTCAAAATCAATTTTTGGAGAAAATATTTGAAGAATATAATGAAAAAAGTAACTATAAAATGTGTACTTTCCTTGTAAGTTACTATATGTAAATTTTTTTACTGTATTGACATTTAAAGGATGCACAAGCCACCTCAGTCAGCTTTGGTGGGGTGTTAACTCACCTGTAAGTTTTTTTTTTTTATGTCTATTTGTGTTTTGTTTAAACTAATGCCACAGAGTTAACTCATCCATAAATTACTTAATGTCTGTTTGTGTTCTGTTTGAACCTCTGGCGCGGTGTTAACTCACCCGTAAGTTACTTTATGTCTGTTTGTGTTCTGTTTGAACCTCTGGCGCGGTGTTAACTCGCCCGTAAGTTACTTTATGTCTGTTTGTGTTCTGTTTGAACCTCTGGCGCGGTGTTAACTCACCCGTAAGTTACTTTATGTCTGTTTGTGTTCTGTTTGAACCTCTGGCGTGGTGTTAACTCACCCGTAAGTTACTTTATGTCTGTTTGTGTTATCTATAATTATATGGAATAGTGTTAACTCAGCCGTCAGTTATTTTATGTATATGTGTGTTCTATATGATTGTGTATATTATCTGGTGTAGTGTTAGTTAAGTGAGTAACTAGTGAATACAACAATATAATAGATTGTTTACCCTAACTTACATTTTTCTTCTAGATAAAATGTTTTTCTAATGAATATTTACAGTCTCCTAAGTAATGTGATGGAGTACAGAAGTAACTAACTCTAGCAATCCAGTTCTTGTTGCTGAAAAAGGAACCTAATTTTTTTTTTATTTATATTTTTTTTTTATTTATATTTTTTTTCAACTGAAATTTTAGGTTGATTTTTTGTGCAACTAAAATAATATTCATGGGGCAAAATAAACAACTTGCACATTTTCATTTTTGAAATAGAAAATTACTTTTTAAAACTATGAACTACTTTAATTAAAACTATTACTTAACTATTTAAAGTGCATTTTTGAACATAAGAAGTGCGGATATATACAACATATACAACATTCTGATTTAGGTGCTCTCCATGGTACACTATAAATAAAATAAGAATACATTAAAGCATATTCAATAATATGTATATAAATAAATAGATAGAGATTGTTTTTTTTTTCAACCTCTTTAACCACTATAGCAGTTGAAAATTACTGGAAGAGAAAAGATGAAGTTTGTAGATCAAGATAACGATTGACAGATGACTTAAAAGAGTAAATTATATGAATCAGGATAAGAAGAAAATGAAGGAAGTGAATTCCAAAGTGCTGATGTTCAAGGAAAAAAAATAGAGGAATACGAGTTTTAGGAGCACTTAAGATAATTCACAGAAAAAGAATGAGACTTAAGAGATAAGAATGAGACAATTGAAACACAAGAATGATAGTAAATGGCACAAGGTACGCTAGCTCTTTAGAGCAGTGCCCTTTATAGTATTTGTAGAAAAGAGAAAGAGAGGCAACATGATGATGTGACAATGGTTGGAGGTTGGCTGCAAGAGCATCCAATTATTATGTTTATATTATATTTATATTATTATGTTTATCCAATTATATATAATTATGTTTATAATACGTTTTTGTACCTTGTATAAAAGAGAAAGGGCATCATTAAAAGATCTGCCCCCGATATGATAACAGTATTCCATACAGGGACGGATTTGAGATAGAGAATAGAATCTGGAGTAGATAGAGAATAGAATCTAGAGTAAGAAAATGTCTAGCTTGATAAAGAGATGCAGCCTTAGCAGATGTTAATTTTGCAATGGATTTGATGTACGATTTCCAAGAAAGATCATAATCGTTAAGCCTAAAAGATGAAGAGTACTCATCTAGTATGTTGCTGTTCATAAATAAAAGAAGATCTAAATTATTGCAATAACGATTGGCTAAAAAAAATTGAGTTTTATCTGAATTAAAGTTCATCAGCCACTGTTAGCCCCATGTTGTAGCAAAAGTGATAGCAGGGTTGTGGAGTCGTAAAAAAAAAGTTACGACTCCGACTCCAGTTGTTGAAATTTTTTGAGTACAACTTCGACTCCAACTTCAAAGTAAAAATTTTTGAAAAATTCTTGGAATTCTTTAAAAAATATTGCACGATAAGTTGACTTTTTTTTTTTGACAAATTTATGCAACGCTCTTCGAGGTTTAGTATGAACATAAGGTTGATTGAATGTTTTGTACATACACGTGCCATACCAAGAAATATTACTGTTGGAGTCGCGATATTTTTTAGCAACTCCGACTCCACTATATGTGCAAACATACATACATATATACATACATACATTTTGAGAATTCCACATACATACGCACACTTTGAGAATTCCAGCTTCAAATATATATGTATTTCATAAGAGATTATAAGATTCCATGTTAGGTCAGTAGCAGAATCAGAAAAGATGTAAGATAGAGGATTTTTAACACTATTGTGATAACTAAGTTTTGTTTAAGCTATAAACATTGTTAGCCCTAAGGTGTATAAGAAAAGACATAATTAAAGATTGACTAAATTCATAACTAGATTCTTAAACCTTAGAAAGTGATTCTTTTTGTTTCTAAATAGTTGAACAAGGAAAGAGCAGTCTAATCATGAGGCAGATCCCAAAAAGCTATATTTTTCAAAAAAAAAATTTAACAATTTTTAATTCACGACATTCTTTTAAAATGTGATTTAAATATTTCAAAATATATTATTTTATTGTAGTCTTTCTTTTTAATGTAGAACTTTTTGTTATTTCAAAAAAATGAAAATGTGCAAGAAAAGGCAGTTTGCTAATTAATTGTGTATTTTCTGTCATATACTTTCAATCGTTCTGCATCAAAAATCGTACATGTGAGTAGGAAGAAACCTTGACGTGGTTCATGTGCTTTAAAACAAATACCTTCCAGACGGATACTCTGGGACCTTATAATGTGGGTTAAGGAACATTTTATGCTTGCTTTTCTTCGTATCTTTATTTTTTTTAGATAAAATTCTTTTGATGGCATTGTGGATGTCGAGAGATAAAGATACTGTTTTAAACATGTTATTTGAAGCAAATAAAAAAAAAAAATAGTGCATATCTCAACTTAAGTCTCAAAAATGCTTAAACTTTTCGGACTTGGTAAGCCATGGTAGTTTTAGCCTGATTAGTATACCAATTACCTTGAACAAAAAGTTTTATTTTAATAATTGTTTCATGTTTCGCAGTTGTTCTTCCAACTTAGAGTTTTTTTATATCGTACTCTAATTAAATATATTTTTAGAAAACAATAGAATCAATGCTTATGAAGACACTAAAATGTGATATTGAACGTTATAAAGAACTTTTTATAATTTTTTTTTTTTTTATTGGAGTGTATTTTTATTTATGTATAATTTATATTACGATATGTGTGATATGAATTGTGTCACGAAAAAAACTATAATTAAAAAAAACGACAGTACTAGTACCTTATGTATGATTTGCTTTTTGTTTTGGCTAGGCTTATATTTTATTTTTTCTTTGAAAAATACTTTTAAAACTATTAAAAAAATTTTTTTTGTTTAAAAATAAAAAATTTTGTATTAACTGCATAAAAAACTGCTTTAACGATTTCTCTTATAATTTGTCCACTAACTTTGTATTAAAAACGGAAACATACACTGATTATATTGTTTTGTATTGTCCCAGCAAACATTCGGTCTAAAATAGACGTCTTTAATACGTATTAAAAAACGTTTAATTCGTTTAAAAGACATTAAAACTAGGGTTGTTAACCGGAGGATTTCGTGCAATTCCGGAAAAACAACATTTTTTCGTAAGGAGATTGAGAACACGGAATTACATTTTTTCGTACCGAATGTTACAAAACAATTAAAATCGCCGATGTTCATTTCGCAAAAGCCACTTCCGAAATTTAGCATTTCGCAAGTTGACATACGAAACAAAACTATTTTGTAACATACGAAAGTAGCGGTTTCGGAAGTCGCACTTGCGAAACAAACATTTTCGCCAAACGACGTTTTGAAGTCTATAAAGAAAATTTGTTTGCCAGACTGATTTTAATTGTAAAAGTTAACATCTTTAAATCCCAAAATGTTTTTAATGAATTTTTATTTTCAGTATAATAACTATTAAATTTTTATGGTTTTATTTTTAGAAATATTGATAAAAAATAAAATTTCTTTCGAAACGAAAGTATTTCGGATCACAACATACGAAAGAATTCTTAACGGAAATAAACTTACGAAACGTGCCATAATAAATATATACAACGATGTTTTTTGAACTCATTACGTATATTAAAAATAAGAATGATGGGTAGGAATATACATGTTTTTTTTTAAAGCATATGAAATTTTTGAAACAGGTTCGAATATGCTTAAGCAAATAGTAAAAAATGGCTCAAAAATATGCTTTAGCTTAAGCATATTTCTGATAAAATATACCTATTTCAATAATTTCTAAAAGTGTGCACGTTACTAAAGTTCTAGCAGATTTTAAAGGTATGTAGAGTCCTGTTTGAATACGCTTTTCGAAGTATAGATCTTAGAAAATATTGTTTTTTAATTTTAATAAGATATAAATTTGAGTATAAGATTGTATAGTTCAATCAGTTAGATACGTGATAATTCGCCGCAGAGATCCGGGTTCGCATCCTGCAGCCATTGTAACTTTTGTTCATCAAACTCTTTTTACTTAAGAAAGCATTTTTTGACCTCCATGTTCTATATTACAGATCTTTCGTCACCTTCACAATAGCGACAACCTCTCTTCTGTTAGTTATTCTTTTAAGATTGAGTTCATTGTGCTTAATTCAACACGTTTCCCTTGCTTTACTAAGTTCTACTTAAATTATGATGAAATGTACGTAAAACAACTTTTTCAAATAATATAAATCATTTTGCTTTAAATCTTTTGCTTTTTGTACTAGACATCTGTCCTAAATACTTTGTAATAATTTCTAGCTAACTCTGAGTCTAATATAACCATTTCTGAATATAATTTCCCTGAGGCTCCTACAGCCTATTGTGTTCCATTAAAAGTAACTAGTTTTTGAGTCCAGATATTAGTTATAAGCATCTAAAGGTTCACATTACTATTCATTTTCCTGGTATATAGAATCCTATTTGCATACGTATCTCTTTCTGTAAGTTCTGTTTTATATAGTTTCTTAATTATATATTAAATAAATATTACTATTCACTTAGTTGAATGAACGTATAGCTCATTCAGTTAAGACATTTGGCCGCGTAGACCCAGGTTCACATCCCGCTGTTTCACATATATTTCTTCTCTTTTTACTCTTTCTGATATCATTTACCTTTACAGAGATCTCTCGTTCTTTATAATAAAGTATTTAATTGTTTATCACACATCCTCTTTATACTTTTTAAAAAGAAAGGCATACTGTTTATCTGTTCATTGAGAGTCCAACTTAACGGGATTTTACTGTATATATATGTATATATTTATAAATATATATATATATATATATATATATATATATATATATATATATATATATATATATATATATATACAACGATGTATATATATATATATATATATATATATATATATATATATATATATATATATATATATATATATATATATATATATATATATATATATATATATATATATATATATTAGGTATATTTGTATAAACATTTGAAGAATCATTTGACAACATTTTTTTATTATTTTATTATTTATTATTTAAACTGTTAACAGTTAATATCTTAAATATATCGTAACATAAAATCTTTTGCGTCTTTTTCGTAACTACACATTCCGGAATGCTTTTTCCGTAAGGAACCACTGATCTCTATAATAACTGGATAGCGCAACTCTGAACAAAATTTTGAATTTTTTGACGCCAAAATCGCCATATTGGAAAGCCCCAGATATTTGAATAAGTAAGCCTTTTAAAAAATAAGTAAGCCTTTAAAAAAATTTATTTATTATTTTCATTTTAAAAAAACCTTTAAGTAAGCGTTTGGCTTAGTTTTTCGACTAATCGCTTTAAAATCAGATTTCAGCTAAGTTGAATATACAATAATGTGCGGATTAAAAAAAGATCCCTGAGGTTCAGAGTGTTGTGCATATGGGTGCAAAAATGGAAAAGAACTGAGGGTTAAAGAAGCAATATTTTAGGAAGTTAATATAATAATAATATTATTATCTACAATAAATCTTATATAGTTATTTTTATAGATATCAGTTCTTAATTAACATTCATATATATATATATATATATATATATATATATATATATATATATATATATATATATATATATATATATATATATATATATATATATATATATATATATATATATATATAATAAAAATAGATAGATACGAATGTATATCAGTATGCACCTTTTGATTTTTAATTACCCGGTGCAAAATGCCTGAGGCTTGTAACATATTTGCAAAGTAAACAGCTTATTCATTGTTGTATGAATCATTAGTTGGGCTATGTTAGTGTAACTCAACCCGAAGGTTTCTTAGACAGTAAATAGTAATTGTATATATATATATATATATATATATATATATATATATATATATATATATATATATATATATATATATATATATATATATATATATATATATATACTTTTATAAAACATTTTAATAAAACAATTACTGGCTGTTGTTTCAGAAATTACTAGATAATGGGTTACCCAAAAAACTTGTGAGTTTGCTTACATTTTGGTATAGTAATCAACAAATGTTTGTTCGATGGCAAAAAACAAAATCAAATAGTTTTAGAGTTGTCCCCACTTCTATTTAACTTTTACATACAGAATATGATTTTATTAATCTCAAAACTACGTATTGGATGTAATATAGGTGGCTTATGCTGATGATATGGTTTTAATTGCACCATCTTGGTATTCTCATCAAAAACTAATTAGCTTTACAAATAAGGAATCTTCCTTAATTAACATATTCTTTAACACAAAGAAAACTGTATGTATGGTGTTTAACCCAACTCAAAAATTATATCAAACTCCTTTCCAGAATTATGCATATCAGGCTGTAAAATTGTTTTTGTTGAATCTTTTAAATAACTTGGCCATATAATTAAAAATGACCTAACTGATGATCTTGATATAACCAAGGAGATGAAGGGTCTTTACACACGTACAAATATTTTAACTAGACACTTTCATTTATGCTCTACCAGAGTAAAGGTCAAATTGTTTAAATCATATTACATTTGTTTATATGCTGCTCCTCTGCAGCAAAATTATAATGATAAAACAATGGCACGCCTTCATTATTGCTACAACAAATGTGCTAAAATGTTTTTTGGCTACAACAAGTATGATCTCATGCTTTTAGAGCACAGATTACCATCTTTTTATACAATTATCTCGAACTACAGACATGCTTCTTGTAAAAAGTTGATAGCTTGTTTCTTAGTAAATAATTCCATGTGTTCTCTTAATCAAAGTTAAAAAAAATATTTTTTTTGTAAAAACTATGGACCTGGCACCTAAATTGTATCTGCCTGTTGTCTGAAATATATTTATAATAATAATAATAATAATAATAATAATAATAATAATAATAATAGTATATATATATATATATATATATATATATATATATATATATATATATATATATATATATATATATATATATATATATATATATATATATATATATATATATATATATATATATATATATATATTAGTAAAAAAACTTATCTAACCAGTAAGAAATCTTTTTTCTTGGTTAGATGAGTTTTTGATGTTGAAGACAAAAATTAGATAAGTGTTTTAACTATTTTATTATTGCTGTTCTTAAGAACATTGAGCACTCTGTACTTGCAAAATGCTCTAGAATAATCTAACATAATTTAAAAAATTAAACAATAATTATACTTGTATTTCTTTTATTTTCTCTTTTGTTTTTGAGTACAATATTTTACAAGATTTATTATTATTCAACCATTAATTATCAGGATACAGCTGATAAATGTAAGTTGAAATAATAATTACTTTCATAAAACTACATGTGTCTCTATATCTTTCATACTTTGATTGATGAAAAACAATAAACGCTTAAATATCTTGTAATGTATGTCACCAAAATAGCAGAAAAAGAACTTAGTAACAACATATAAACTTAGTAGTTATATAAGTTAAAGCTTTTCGTACTTTTTATAAGTGGGATAAAAGTTTGTGACGCAGCAGAAATAAAACTTGGTAGTGTATGATTATCAATTTCAATCTACTATAATAAAGTCGATGATATTACTTTTGCAATTGCGGAAGAAACCAACATATCCTGAGTTTTTTAAAAACTATGAAAATTTAAAACCATTTAAAAAATCTTTGATACAATATTTTTTTGTTATGTTTTACACTTATAAAGTTACTTTCTCACTGCTATTATAAAGTAAGATTGCATCAAGTTGTAACAATAAACATTCTAAAGTAACCAGAGTAAATATTAATTTTGACTTTTAGCAAAGTATATTGAACATAAGAAGATTAATAAAGGTAACAAGTTTATACAAAACAAATACAAATTATTAAACAGTCTGTTCTCCTATATTCTTTATTTACATTCAACTCTAATTTTGTTCGTGCTTTTTTTTTTTACTTTTTCAATTTTCAAACTTTCAAACATTTTAAAAATAACAATATGATTGAAATATGCAACTTTAATCTAGTCAATGTAAAAGAAGTGGTAAGTAAAGCAATAACAAATCTTCAAGCGCAATCTCTGTATTTTCAAATTCCGTTCAGTTTTCTGGGGCTTTCCAATATGGCGATTTTGGCGTCAATTTTGATAGTAGAGATGCGCTATCCAGTTTTGATATTAGAGATGCGCTTATTATAGAGATCAGTGTAAGGAACTATTTCGTAAGTATTCTTACGAAATGATTTGTTTCGCAAGTTTTCTTTCGCAATGCTTTATTACGGAATTTTATTTATTTATATTTTCGTATAACGCGTTACGGAATGTGCATTTTTGCATGTGCAACTTCCGCAATAACAATTCTATTACGGTAGATAAAAATGCGAAATTTTCGCAAGTTTTGTTTTTCGGCGAACAACCCTACTTTAAAACGTCTTTTTAAGACCAAATGTTTGCTTGGGTATTGTTAGCTAGCTGTTTTATAGAAAACAGCGTCCCCAAAGCTAACATTGTTTTTTTTTTTTTTTTTTTTCTGTTTTTCAAATTCTGTTAACTATTACATAATTAATTGATAAGAAATTTCAAGAAAATTGTGGCTCTTGCAACACTAAAAATTACACAAATGAATTTCCAAAGTAGGTAACATTTTTGAAAAATTTTGAGTTTTATCACATCAAATAAAAGCAGCGTATTCAACCTAACGAAATGTTTCAAAATGACCTGATAATTCGATCCAAATATCGACACTTAATTATGCTGTCGCAAATCTTGACTACGTTAGCATAAATATTTTATTTAAATTTTCATTAATAAATGATTATTTGGATCGTGCAGATTTATTCAGCAGCTATTCTGAATAGACAACAACTTGTATTCTATGTAAAATTAAAATAAGCAAGAGAATCTAATAATTCTGGTCAAAAATTGTTTCTTACAACTCCACTGCTCGATCATGTAAAAAAAAAAATCATTTTTAATTGTATTAAAAGGAAATAAAATTACTTTTTAACTCTACGCGATTATTCGATAAGTAGCATGTCGATTGTAAAGAAAATGTGAATCGTAAAGAAAATGAGAGAGCAAATGTCTATAGACAATTTCGGCGTGCGGCATATAACTTCGATAGACCGAAGTTATGTCGTTGCTTTTTTATTCCATATCTAATGTGAATTTCTATTAAAGAATTTGTTTAACGTACATGATATAGGGTATTAATGATATAAAGTCACAACAAATGCATAAAACATTTTTTACATCATCTGCATTTTTAGAGAGATTGTTGTCTGAATAAAGAAACATTTATAAGAAAAAGCGACCAATTCTGTTACCTTAACGCGGAGAAACGCGTTGAGATAGTACAGTTTATACAAAGTAATGCAAATACATTCATAACAGTTTATACATAGTAATGCAAATAAGTTCATAAAAGAGTGATGAAATCTGTATTTCTTGAGCGAAGAAAATTTAAATGTAAATAAACTTATAAGTGATAAAATCTATAATTTTTGTGCATCGTTAATTCTTATTTATTTGAATTATATAACTTGAACACAATTTCTTCGAATCTAGTAACATTAGATTGTTTTAAAAGATTAACATTTTAGAATTTGCGTTCTAGGTTCTCTCATTCCGTTAATTACGAAATGGTTGTATCAAGTCTAAACTGTATCTTTAAGACTGCGGCTTAAAATAAATTTTTAATTTAATTATTTTTACTTTAAATATTTTTACTAATAACTTTTTTTATTATTATTTATCAACATGAGATAACCAATTATTTTATTATTCGGAAGAATACAGGAGACCGGATAATATACAAATCTGGCTGGATACACTATCTGGTAGACTTCTATTTTTAAAGACTCACTCTCAATTTAAATTTACTTAATAGATCTTTGAAGTCTTGCTTAAATTTTAGGTTAAGTAGGAGTCAAAAGGCCGACGCGAAGGGGGTGAGGAGTGTGACATCCCCTCTCATTAAGGTATTTTTCGCTCATTTAGTCGGCGAGTCTGACCCTTTTAGACATCAACTCGCGCCGGCTCTGTATAAATAAATACAGTCAGTCACAAAAGCCTACGTACGCTTTAGAGTACAATTTAGAGGAAAGACTTAAGAAGAATCACTTTAAAAACCATTTTAAGAGCAAAAAAATATTTTTTTATTTAAGTAACAAGAATATATCGTACAAGAAATAAAAAATAATAATAATTAACTAAGAAAATATATTTATTTGTAAAACTAAAAAAGTTTAATTATTGAATTTTTATGTCAAAAAAGTTTTATAAGTTCACTAAAAAGTTACACTAAACAAGAATCATAAAAAACACAAGAATATGAAAAATAAAAAAATCTTTAGTATTTTGTTGAATATCCTTTGGCATTTAGACAAGTTTTTTCTTTTATTCTTCTGTTCATCGATGACAATAGTTTTTTGGTATAAGAAGACGGTATTTTATTCCATGATTCTAGTGAGATATTTTAAAGCATATTAACATTTGTTATTCTGTTTCCTGACTTGTCTTTCAAAATAATTTCACACGTGCTCTATTGAGTTAAAGTCTGGTGATTGGGGATGCAGTTGTTTTGGAACATTGTAGAGAAACCATGATTTTACAACATGAGCAGTGTGTTTCGAATCATAATCTAGTGGAAATATCTAATTATTTCACAACTTTAATATTGTAAGCATGCGATTTCGAATTATATTTTATAACGCTAAATATACATCCAGCGGAAATAAATACCGAAGTCCCCACTACAGCTGCACCCATCGATCCCCAGACCATCACACTTCCACTTCCATGTTTCATCATCGGAATTAAATCTTTTTTTTCTAGTTCTGTATTATTTTTCTCAATATTTTTCCACGCCTATCAGGTCCGAAAATATAAAATTTACTCTCGTCAGTAAATAAAACTTTGTTCCACAATTGTTCATCTTATTAATATTTGGCGAAGTTCCATCGTAAGTTGGCATCATAGGTCTAAGAAAAATTAAATGAAAAAATTTACGTAAAGGAAATTATACGAATTTCAACATTTTTGTTTTATTTTTTGTTATTATTTAATAGATTAATTACCTTAATTAAGTTTAAAAAGCTATAATAAGTTATATCGGGTGGACACGGAAAAATCCGGTCAACTTTAAATTGAGATTTCTCTAAAAACCATAAATGCTTTTTATTTCAATTTTTTTTATTATTAAATGTGTTTACACAAATTAGAGTTTCAACTTAATTTAAAGGGGCTTGATGGGTTGCTTGGCAAGAAATCGAACTTTATAGCGGGTTGATGCCATCATTTTACAGATTTTTTCTTTTTTCTTTGTGTTTTTTTATAAAAGACAAAAGTCTTTTTTGGAGGCATTCTTTGATGTAGAGATTGGCAGTCAAGGTCTTTTTAGTGACAAAACAAGAGGACTGCATACCACAGCTACAAATTGCTTGCCACAAAAGTAACTTGGATGCAAATTTTTCTCGTCGAATATATTTAAATTGATCATCGACAGGTTTATCTTTGTTTTTATAGTAAAACTGTTGACCAGGAAGTTGTGAAAAATCTGCCTTGCAATACGTTTCATCGTCTTCAATTATGCACATATTTTTATCCGCCATTATTTTAACCAACTTCTTTGCGTGTCGAATTCCTTTAATTTCACAATTTAAGCTTCTCTTATGTGTATTTTTTTTATGAAATGCTTTAATTCCAGCATTTTTAAATACTTTTTTGATATAAGAACGAGAAGTCTTAAATTTTCTTGCTAGATCTCGCTGTGACTGATTTGGATTTCTTGCATTTGAACGTAAAATCGACTTTACCTTTTTGGATTTATGGAAAGTTTTTTTTCTTCCACTTCCAAGTTTTCTTTCGAAGCTTTGAGTAGTCTTCAACTTGTTTATAATATCTATGACTGTAGATTTTGGGACATTTGTGCGTATAGCAACCAAGCGATAGGAAATCATTAATTTGTACACAAAAATTTATCAACACCATTTAAGAAATGGAAGTAAGGTTTAGTTAAAAAAAAAAATTAAATAAAAAGCATTTGTGGTTTTGGAGAAATCTCAATTTAAAGATGATCGGATTTTTCCGTGTCTACCCGATAGTTATAAACAAATTTAAATGAACTTCAGTATATAATAATATTTTGAAACGAAAAAAAAAACTTACGGCTCATCTATACAAGCTATCAGTATTACTTTATAAAATTGTTGGGTGATTTTAGATAACTATATGTGAAATAAGCTTTTAATATTTTAATCTTTCTAAAGCTTTTTTGATATTACCTTCTTTATTAAAGCCTTTCTGAATGTTCTTATACCTTTCTGTAAATAATTTTTTGCATACTTTCTTAATTATATTATATGTTTATTGTTATAATACTGCTGTTGTTGTGCCTTATGTATAATAAAATTAGTAATTTTCTAATATAATGTTATTTGTTTATCACATTATCTTTAACACAGCGATGACAATCATAATTGCTTGGGTTTTAACATTTAAACTAATAATAGTTATTCCTGCCATAACCAGATTTCTAATTAATTTTTTATTTTTTTCTCTACTTTATTTATCCATTTAATAATAATTTTTTTTATGTAAACACAAGAAAAAGTTCTGTTGTTTTTAATCTTGTAAGAAGTTTTGGGAAGTTTTGAATTGATGGTGTTATACCTACTCTTCCCATGTATCAATTATATAACGGGGCTCAAGTATCCAAATTATACAAACTAATTTTGGACTAAAAGAATCGGACAATACTGTATAATTTAATTAAAACTAAATAAAAACTAAATATAAAAAAATATATATTCATTAACCTATTTAAAGTATTTAAATATAAAACGACTAATATCTCCACTAAACCATGTTAATTAAATTTAATTATATATAAGCTAAATATAAAAAGAACAGCTGCATCACACCATATAAATGTAATTTAAATATAAACAAAAACTAATAATTTCAATTTACCATACAAAATTAAAATAAACATAAACTAAAAACAAAACAAGTACCATCACTAAACATTTATAGTATACTGTATTAATTTAAACTAAATAGTAAAAGAATAACTATGATAAAGCAATTTCAATTATCATCTTATCAGTCTTCTTATTGTTATAAGGAAGGTCTTTGAGTCTGTAATAAATTTCTCACATTCCATCTTGAATCAAATAACTTGATGTCAGACAATGAATATTGTTTTTTATCCTCTTGCTTCACTGTTGCGACTGAAAAATTGATTGTGCATTAAATGAAGACAGAGATGCTAGGGCTATTGCTCTTGACATATCTAAGGCTTTCAACTAAAGTTTAGCATGTTGGTCTTCTCCATAAGCTTGTTTCATATGTTGTATCTAGGAAAGTTTTTGAGAGTATCAAATTATTTCTTTTTAACCGCTTTATTAAAGTCATCCTTAAAGGGCAACACTTTTCTTTCTGATAACTTCTGGGACAAGGTTCTAACTTTGGTCTTATTTTGTTTCTTATCTACATTAATAATATGTTAGACAGCAAAAAAAAATATTAATTGTTAAAATAAAGTTTTTGCTAGATACTGGCTATTTTTTTTTTGCCCCACAGCAACACCTTTTGGAGTAGCAGGATGGTCTTATTATTTTACTTCTTTATTAAGTTTTAGAGAATATTTTTTTTCAGAACATCCGCAGCCTATTAAGACTTATTACTTAAGCACATTAAAAATATAATTGTCTTGATATATGTGCAAAATATTTCTGCTAGTGTTTTAATGTTTTAGAAAGTTTAGGCTTTTTTAAAAGTTCTTTCTCTTTTGTTTGTTACAGTGTATAATACCTTCACATAGGTTATATATATAATATCTATAAAACTTCAAAAGTGTTTTATTTTTTTATTTTAGAATAAAAAATAAATAGAATCGAACCACTGTGTTTTGCTTCTGGAACTCTGCAAGCTAACCACTCGGCCACACAGGAGTGTTGTCTGATGAGCATTTTAAAATTATTCAACAAGCAAAAGACTTTATAAAACGAGGGATAAATGCTACAGATAAAAATTAAAGAGATGCAATTCAATTTTTAAGTAAAAGTTAAACTGTAAAACTTGATATATGTTTAAAAATTTCATATTTAAAGTTTAAATAAATTAGATATTTTGATAAAGTTTTGTTCAGATTTTCTAATTAAAAAGTGCTGTGACTCTTTCTTGCCATTACCTCGATTACAATGGCTGCCAAGAGATGTGTCAAACATGAAAGTATGTATGCATACTTTCATATATATATGCATACTTTCATATATATATATATATATATATATATATATATATATATATATATATATATATATATATATATATATATATATATATATATATATATATATATATATATATATATATATATGTAAGTATTTGTGTATATATATGTATGTATATACATAAATGTATGTATCTATATATTTATTCATACTTTCTGATAATTATTTGTTTTATAGATATTTTTTAAAGAGTTTTACAACCAACGCAATCAATTATTATGTAAATAATATAACGTTACCAGCATTGGTGCTCTCAAAATGATTATAGAATTATAAAAATAATTATACTCAAATATATATATATATATATATATATATATATATATATATATATATATATATATATATATATATATATATATATATACATTATACCATTATATATATTTGTATAGACACTACTTATATAGGAGAACTTATAAAATACTCACATAAGTAAATGTTTGAAGAAAAAGTTCAAATTATACTTTAAATTTAAAAAATTAACTTAATAAAAGAATAACAAAATACAAATCAGAAAAAAAATTTTTACCTTATGTAGATCTTATTAAATGTTCAGTAATTCAATTACTGAACATTTAATAAGATCATATATATTGTTTCACATCAGCATATTGTTTCCGGTAAAAGTCACTATACAACTTAGCAAGATTATCCACAGACTTTGTAATATGATTCATATAGTCATAAGATGTACCACCAGCAAGCTGGTCAATGGCTACAACCATGCACGAAGATTCATTTGTTAAGTGCACAACATTGACATGAACACCCTCCTGGGTTGTGGCATCAAAACCAAGTCAAATTTTTTGTTGAGAATGCTATCTCAGCAGCCTGGAGTTCTGAAATAATACCCAGCTCGCGCATCATCTGCTCCACAGTTTTGCGATGTGGAATGTCACTAAATCTATACCCAAAGTGTTCTCCTACTTTATGAAGAAGTTGGGGCACACTGTGTGTAGGAACTTGACATGCTAGCATGTCATAGATAAGTGCCCTAATATCAGATGAGTAGACTTTTTTACATCTGGTGCTTTGTACTTTCTGCTGCATTTGCTCTATCTTTTCCTGTAAAATAAGCATATCATTTTGCAGGACATTAATCTCTACATTCTTGTCAGCAAGTTGTTGACGTAAGATAACTTCTTCATTAGACAGCTTTGTTTGGGTGAATTGCAGTTCTTTTTTCAAACGAAAATTTGAAATTTGAAGCTTATTCAGCTGTAAGTTTAGACGTTGAACTTTTAATTTATTCCCCAAACTTCGAATTGTCTTTTCTTTGCGAGCAATAGTCTCATTGAGATGTTTAAATCTTGGCCTTGTTTTAATTTTTTCTTTTAACACCTTTACATCCTCTCTATGCTTTCGTTTTTGGGTAGCAATTTCAGTAGCAAAAACACTTAATCTATGTTTGAGGAGTTTTTTTCTTGGAGTCAACTGGTCAGCTCTTAAGCTGGATAACAAAGCACTTTTTTTATTAGGTGAAGACAAAATACTTTTATGTTTAGGAGATGAGGCAACTGACAAATACGAAACAGTTTTTCTTGAACTTGGACCTGACTGAAATGAATCTGTTGCTGGAAATGTTGCTGCTTGACAAATAAAAGGCTCGTTGCAGAAGTCAACAAAATGTTTTGAATCTCTTAAAAAATTGCAAGCCCATTTTTTTGATACATTAACAAGAAGTTTAGTATGACTGTAACAAATATTGAAGCCATAAAGTTTATTGACCTGCTCAATAGTTAATTGATGTGATTCATTATTGCTAACGAATACAAACAGAATATGCCCATTTTTACAATTGTTGTCTACTTGCAAAGACAATGCAAAGTTTGATTCTATATAGTTTTCCGCTGCACCACGAAACACACACATATTCTTTTTGGGACCCATAATACCATATAATGTCACGTTGAGTTATTTCTTAAATGAAAAAAAGAACATCCAGAGAAAATTAGTTACTTGCTTCTTTTTTAAGCAAAAAAATTTAATTGATATCATTTGTATGCAACAAATTTCAATTTTGTTCAATCATGAGTTAACTTTACCAATGACTTAAAATAATTTATTATGATAACAATTATAAGCTTTATAACCATATGGTTATCATCTGGTGATTTATCATCTATAATTTATCAATTATGTTATGATACTGATGATATTGTATTATGATAGTCTATAATTATGTGAGTGATATCTCACTCATTTTTCATAACCAACTTGCATATACTTTTTATCATGATAAATTTTTTTATATTTAGTTTAAAAATTATTTTGTAATAAGTAATAAGAATAACTATAAAATATTACTATATAATTCTTATCATTATATATCGTTTTTAAACCTACTATAAACTTATAAATATATATATATATATACATATATATATATATATATATTATGTATATATATATATATATATATATATATATACATATATATATATATATATATATATATATATATATATATATATATATATATATATATATATATATATATATGTATGTATGTACATATATATATATATATATATATATATATATATATATATATATATATATATATATATATATATATATATATATATATATATATATATATATATATATATACATATATATATATATATATATATATATACTATTATTGTTATTATATATTATAAAATGAATATACATTTAGGGGGAGGGGGTTAACAACGATCTTTTAAAAAGATCGTTGCTAGCCCCCCCCCCCCTACCTACCTTTATTCTCCGGAAAAAGTTAAACTTAGGTACCTGTGCAGCAACAAATAATAAGGTGTCTGCTACATAATATTTTTCAATGAAATTTGGCATGCACTTAGAAAAAAGGTTTCTGCACAGGAAAAAATAGATTTAAAAAAGTTATCAACATTCTTTTTATATAAATTTTACATCTGACCAACAACGAATTTTTTCATAAACAGTTAACTTAATGATAGCGGTTGTAACTACTGAAAAAAGCACCACAAAAGTAAGGCCTTACTTTTCAACTTTTTTTAAAATATATAATTTGGTTCAAAACTCTACAAAATAACACATTCTTACAGCACATAAGTACCTATTTTGCTACAAAAAATTAAGTGTCTGCTACATAATATTTTGTAATAAAATTTGGCATGCACTTAGAAAATATGTTTATTCACTGGGCCCAATAGATTTGAAAAAGTTATCAACATTTCTTTAATATGAATTATACATCTGATCAAAAACAAAGTTTTTAAGAACCATAAATTTAACGATAGCGGTGGTAATTACAAAAAAGAACAGCACTAAAATAATGTTTAACTATTCTACTTTTCAAAAAATATATATGTTGATATGAAGTTCTATAAAAAAACACAAGAAAATACATTCTTACAACACATACGCCTTGCACGCTTCACTAGAATGGTCGAAGTTTTTCATTACAAGATCGGTGCCGTAAATCGAAAGATACGCGCATTCCTAGTAATTGATAGCTTTGTGATAAAAAGTATGGCAAAAAATATATTTATGACGAATATTCATAAAATTTGATGTGTTATATTTAAACACTTTCAACGTAATTAAATAAAACCAATCTAAAATCTTTTGCTTTTATGCACATAGTAAAATTTATAAACATTTAGCTTAGTCTCGAGCACAATGTAAGCCAAAAGGAGAGTAAAAGCTTATTTCATGAACAACATGATTAGCGATATTTAATAACATCTAAAAGTAGGCGATAAAACGCATGCGCAAATTTTATTTTGGTCTGGATTTTTATTAAAATCGGCAACCTACTTTTGAATGTCATTAAAAATCTTTAACCTACTTAAACATGTTGTTGGCATCCTGCATGTAGAATTTAGTTTATTATTTTAAAGTCCTATTATTGAAACATATTTTTATTAAGAATATATATTTCTACTAAGTAAAATAATCTGAAAATAAATGAAATAAAGTAAAAAATCTAAAATGAAGTTTTATATTTTTTTTTTAGCAAATGCTATTTTTGTTAGCACAAAAACTTATCTTTTTATCTATTTGCTTAAATATATAATTATATTTTTAAGAAAAATATAAAATTAAATTATATATATATATATATATATATATATATATATATATATATATATATATATATATATATATATATATATATATATATATATATATATATATATATATATATATATATATTATAAGTTATCAGTAAAAATTTGTTTTACAGTAATGGCATCAAATAATCAATCAAGGTCAACATACTTATCAAAGAGGCGGCGTATATCTAAAACAGTATCTTCTATAATGAAATATATATCTGAAGGTGAGGAAGAAGCTTATATTATTAATGATGAATTAAATAATTCGTTATCAAATGGTGACAGCAGTTCAGATAATATTAACATTTTTAACAATATTAACCAATTTTTTCATCTATTTATATACAAGCAAGTGATTTAGATAGTAGGTTTTGTAATGATTATACATATGATGACCATCTTCAACATTTTAATTACAGCAGCAATAATGAAACAGTTGACAGTGAGCTGATTCAGTTAAAACTTGTAGAGCAGTTACGTGAGTGGGCTATTAAGTTTAACATAACGCATGTATCATTAACATCACTATTGAAACTATTGAATCCATATCACCCCTTATTGCCTCAAGATTCCAGAACACTGCTTAAGACTCCACGCAATGTTGTAATTAGAGAACTAGGAAATGGGACTTACTATCATTTAGGACTGCGTAGTGGTATTGAAAGCTTTCTCTCTAATCAAAGACTAACTAATGAAGAAAATGTGTTAACATTATGCTTAAATGTTGATGGTATTCCCTTATCTAAAAGTACATTAGATCAATTTTGGCCAATATTGTGTTATGTTATGCAGTCTCAAAAGCCCAAACCATTTGTTGTTGGTATATATATGGGTAAAACAAAGCCAGATTCACTTAATGAATATTTAGACCAATTTGTTACAGAGGCTAAAGAATTGTTGTTACAAGGTATTTTGTTTAATGGAGCTCATTACACTATACAAATAGGTGCTTTTGTTTGTAACGCACCTGCAAGAGCTTTCTTAAAAAATATTAAGCTTCACAGTGGATACTCAGCCTGTGAAAAATGTGTGGTTGAAGGTGAATGGAGTGGAAGAGTAATATACACAGATGTGAATTGCCAACTACGTAACAATGAAGGTTTTGCTGCAACGGATGACCAAGAGCACCATAAGGGTTCAACTCCATTACTTGAGCTTGGAATAGGTATGGTAACAAATTTTCCAATTGATTATATGCATCTGGTCTGTATAGGTGTTGTTGGTAAGTTAGTTAAACAGTGGATAGGTAAAGGAGGTCTTATGGGCCATTACCCTGCAAAAAAAAACTGCTGAAATTTCAGATAAACTAATTAGCATGGCTAAAGACTTCCCTACTGAATTTTCTCGTAAACCACGTGCTATTCAAGAAATTTGTTATTGGAAAGCAACTGAGCTTAGAACCTTTCTACTTTATGCTGGTATTGCTGCATTAAATGGAGTTGTTGATGATGAAGTTTATAAACATTTTTTGCTGTTGGTCTGTGGAGTAAGTATTTTGGTGAACCCTCGATTATGTGAAACACATTCAGAGTATGCTGGGAGTCTCCTCAAATTATTTGTTCAGAATGCACACATTTTGTATGGAAAAGAATTTTTTTAGTGTATAATGTTTACAATCTTGTGCATTTAGCTTCAGATGCAAAAAGATTTGGTCCACTTGACTGTTTTAGCGGGTTTCCATTCGAAAATTTTTTGGGAAAGTTAAAAAAGTTGATTAGAAAACCTCAGCAGCCAATACAGCAAGTTGTAAAACGATTATCTGAGATGACAAGTTACACTGTAGAACAAGATACAATTTCTGATGAGTTTGTTTTGTCTGGCAAACATGAGCATGGTCCCATTTTATCAATATTTTCAAATTGTGTTCAGTATTTAAAGTTAAAAACTAGCTTTTTTTTAATAAGTGTTTCTGAATGTTATAAAGACTGTTGTGTGTTATTAAGCAATAATCAGTATTGCTTGTTAAAAACATTGTTGTTCAAGATAGTAAAATTTTTTTTACTTTGCCATAAATTTACTTCATCAAATGATTATTTTGACTACCCCCTACAATCCAGCTGCTTACACATCAGTGTAGTAAAAGATGTAAACTTGAATCTGCTTAGTTTTCCTGTTTCAGATATAATAAGCAAGTGTATACTTATAAAATTAGATAACACTAGATATCTTGCTTTACCACTCATTCACACATATTTTTGAATTTCTTATTTGAAAAAAAAGAAAATTAGTATTTAACATGTACATTGTATAACATGTATTTTGATAATATATAAAGTAATTATACAATTAAAGCGTTTTATTATTTGTCTTCAAACAGTTTTTTATATTTCACTTTATTTTGATTTTTATATATTGTTTTTTGACACACAGTTTAAAGTTTATGAATTTATACAAATTATGTCTGGTGGTAAATATATAATTGTAGAGTTTATTGGAGATGAAGTGGAGCCTGTTCCTTTAACATGGTTGTCTGGAGATAAAAAGTATTGCTATTGGCCGCCTTATCATAGTACTTCAAAGATAAAAAAAGCTATTATCACTTCTCAAATATCTAATACAGACAATTGGTCTATGCATGAAGTGATTCGTTTATTTGGAACTGCAGGTAAAGCTTTTCTTAAATTTCTGCTTATATTGTCAATTTAAAAAAAGTTTATATTAATAAAATAAACTTTTTCTTTAATTAATATAATATTTATCTGTTGTTAATTAAATATAGTATTTATCTGTTAAAAATATTAAACTAATTTATAGAATTAACAAATGTTATATTTTACTTAAATTTTTTTCAATATTAAAATTGTTGAATATTTTAAAATACAATATTAAAATTGTTGAATATTTTTTATTTTTAAATTAAAAAAAAAAAAATATTCAACAATTTTGTTTTAATAGATACCTATGAAAAAGCAATAGAAATTGCAACAAGGGCTGAGTTAACCTCCTCAACAGAAGTTGAAGAGGTTAATTATAATGACTTAGATTTTGAAGTACAAAGTCAAACATCCAAGATAAATGCATTTCATCGTTTGGAAGAGCTTAACTTTGTCCACGATGAAAGTTACAAAGAGGTTAAGGTAACGAAGAAAAAAAAAATTACAAGTCTGTTGCCAATTGCTTCCACTGTTCCTTCTGGCCTTGTTCCTGCTGCAATTAGTAAGAATACATTTTATTTCCCATTTTATGTAATTGTGTTTATTTTGGTTCTTTATTTTTTAATTTTATTCTTTAATAATCTGTTTCAGACAATTTTTTACTAATGTACTAACCATGGTGGACTACTCCACCAAGGTTATTACAAAAAAAAAGGTTAGTACAAATAAGTTCAAATACTTTTTTTTTTCTTTTTCGAATAACATATAATATACAATATATAATGCCAAATTGCCTCAAGTTGTTTGTTTTTTTTTTTTTACTCTTTTTTTTCTTACGGACCCTTAAACAGACATGGGCCCCAGGACAATATACCCTTCTCTCTACGGCCATGTATGTATATATATATATATATATATATATATATATATATATATATATATATATATATATATATATATATATATATATATATATATGTATATATACGTGTATATATATATATATATATATATATATATATATATATATATATATATATATATATATATATATATATATTTATACATATATATATATATATATATATATATATATATATATATATATATATATATATATATATATTTATATATATATATATATATATATATATTTTAAAGTTCAAAATTGATCTTTTTTTAGATTGCTCTACGCCAGAATTGGTTGAAATAAGGCCGTGTATCAATGCGCCCAAAAAGTTATCACACTTTATGTCAAATAATGACAAATTATCTCCAAAACATTTATCAGGTTTCAAATAATTATCTTTATAGCTTAATTATGCAAATGAAAGTTTAAGTTTACATAAATTGATATAATTTAAGAACATTTTCAATCGTTTGTAATTATAATTAGTAATACATGTGTACTCAAAAGTATACACAAAAAAATTTATAAACAGCCTTACAAAAATATGATTTACTTCAACACATGTGCATATATTTTACAGTTTTTATAAAACACATGCATATATTCTTTGTATACTTAGTTGAAAATTAGGTTCTTTTTTTTTACAGTGAAGGCAACTTTTCCAATATTTAATTTTTTAGATAAATTCAACACAATATTTTTTAGGTATTAATCAACATATGTTGAAACTGATAGTTAAACAAAAGGAGGAGATCAAGGAGCTATGCACGGAAATAAAAACTTGCAATGCAATGCTGAATGTAGTATTGTCAAAATTAGGATTATGCTCAAACAACACAAAGGTTTAGATGGTTTCAAAATATTAGGGAGTTGGGAAGATACTACAAATTTAGATGACAAACTTGAATGTAGTGATTTTAAAAATGCTATGGTAAATTGAGTTAATTAAATTAATTAACTCAACAAACAAATAGTTTACTAGATGCTAAAAAATTTTAAACGTTAATGAAATATAACAATGTCGTTAAGTTATTGCTGATAAGTTATTTAATAAGTTAATTATTTTAAATTTCAGATTGGTTTCCTTGGAATAACTGGTGGAACTGATGTGAATGATACAGTTAGAAACGTGTTAAAAAGTTTATTTACACACGAACTAGCTCTTAAAATCAACTGGATGGGGAAAAATGGAAAATACAGTTTTTGCTCATTGGCCTTAACCAATGTTGTAATGCAAGCAGTTCTCTGCAATTTTAGGGTAGCTAATGCAACAAATCACGAAATAAAAAATGCTATTATGAACTGGTTTCGCTATGCCAAAGATAGAAAACGGTGGCAGGACGCAACGTTTGAAAAGACCGCATGCTGATCCAGATAGTGAAGATGAAAACAATGACTTTAGATAATCTACTTCTCATTTGTTTAAAATAATAATAAAGAATAATAATGTTAATAGGTTTCTTTTTGCTTATAACAAACTTCTTATTTATCTTTTTGTTTTCAACAATTTGCATAATGTTAGGTAAAATTTCACCTAATATTATGCAAATACGGTTCGTTAACGTATAACTAAGAGTTATCAAGGTCGGCAAAACATTTATGTTAGGCCAACACATTGGACCAATGTTGCGCTAGGATATAAAACCGATGCTGGCCCATATAAGTTAGCCAACGTCGGCCCAACACTGTTGGGCCAATGTTGTTTATTGTATCACGCCAATGTTGGCCCACATCAGTCAACCAACATCGGGCCAACGTTAAAATAGTTGGCTGCCAACAATGGACCAATAAGTGGTGCTATCTGGGCAGTGGTTTATTTTGCACTTTTTGTGGACATTCGACTATACTTAGAAAAAATTTCTTTGTGCGGCATGGGAAAACAAAACATGGTCATGATATATGTTTTTAGTTTAATTTTTGAAGTTCCATCATTAAATAATACTCCTAAGGGCATACCATAACTCTAGGACACCAAAATAACATACTGCAAAACACCCTAAAAAAAAAACAATAACATTTTTTCAGATACATAGTCAAAATTTATGTTTTAAGGGTAACTTTTCAAGCTTTATCCATTAAAAATACTCTTATGTTCATCGCCATGATTGAACTATAGGCTCTAGGACACGTAAAGGGCACTTTAAAGCGTGCAACTAAAAAATGTTTTTATATACAAGATTCTTAAATGCATGTTTTTACGTCAGTTAGATAAAAAAATATTCCGCTAAAAATATTCACAAAATCATAAAATATACAAAGGACACAAAGAACAGACACTAAAAAACATAAAAAAAGACACTAAAAAGGAAAGTTATTAACTTTTCTAAAATGATTATATAATTGCAATATGTTTTTGAAATATTTATTACGCTTAATGAATTAAAAAAATCATGTAATAACTGTAGGACACCAAAATATTTTATTTAATTAGTTATTGATTATTAAAATAAAGTTAATATACGATCTTACATGTGTTTTTAATTGCCTTACATCTAAAGTGATAAATCTAGGGCCCCATAAAGCTTTTAAATAAATGAAGCATTTTTTTTATTATATGTCATATATTAAAAGTTTGATGATCTTGTTGTGGTTATAAATACGAAGATTTGAAATCTAAAAATTCTTAAATTAAAAGCACGTTTAAGTAGTTAAGAGCCATTATCTGAGAAATATAGGCAAAATCGGCAAAGTCTGGAAGTGATGTCTTCAAAGTCTCTTCATTTTCAGATATCTTATAGAAAACAATGAAATTAGGCCACAGTTAAATTTTTTTTCGAAAACTCCCATTATTTGCGGAGATATCGGGGGCTGAAATTTGGCCCATTTTGTAAAAATATTGGTGCATGGAACGGAATTACTACTTTTAGGGGCAATTTTAGCAATATGAATTTGAGAAACTCATTTATTTTTCTTATTTCTACTACTCTGAGTGGATTTCTCTGGTTAAAATAAAAATTCAAAATGTTTACATTTTTTATTGTCTAGAAATCACGGTTCAAAACCGCTAAATTTGAAATTTTACCCGTACTTTGACCATTTATATCTCCTAAGACCATTACTTGCACATAATTTACTTAACTGCTTTTGAAAGCCAATAAGGTATACATTGAATTTATAGAAAAAAAAATTATGAGTATGCAAGAGCCTGGGAAAGAGTAAGCTTCCAAAAATGAATTTTCGCGGTTAATACGCTTTGTTAGATTACAAATAACAATCGTGGCCTTAGGTCTGCCATGAAATGTATAAGTTATTTCGTTTCCTTATACATGCATCTTCCAATATCTGAAAAAAAATTCATGTGCTTAAGCGATAAAAAGCCTAGAGAAGTCCTAGAAATAGTCTAATTTTGCCACATTCTTAACCAACAAAATACCCTAGCAACGACATAGATATGCTTAGCAACGGCTTTTATAATTCTTTAATAATTAGTACTCTAATTAAAAATAAATAAAAAATACATTTTTATAACAAAAAACTGTATAAAAGCGCTTGATAAAAGTTATTTTCTAAGCTTCTTTAATGAGAAAAAGATCCAAACATCACACACTTTGAAGTGTTTATATCATTGTTAAAACAATTATGTAAATTTCGGATAAACGTTTTTTCAAATACAACTTGTTTAAGAAAGCAAACCAAATAAAGTTTTAAAGAAGTTTATCTGTCAATCTGAATTTCTATGTTATACATATCGTTTATTGAGAGAGAATAGTCCCCTCTTTGATTAGTTGGTGTTGGTGCATCAATCCTACAAATAACGTCAAGATATAAATATTGGAGAATATTTTCCTTGGTTGGCCACTTGAAACAGTTTTTTCCAGGTGTAGTAGAATATTCCATACAAGAAACATGAACATTGTTACGATTGACCTACAGGGTTAAGTTAAAAGTAAAACAACGTCTAATCATTGGTGCTTTCTGAATATTTATTACATTTAAATGTTGTGGTTAATAAATTAATAATTATATAACTTAATAAAAAAGATCTATAACTCAAAAATTAAATATTTTGATGTTATAACGTCTTACACTTTGAATTATTGCAGGATACCACTGCATATTATATTCAATAGCAACCCAATCACCAATTTGAAAATCAGCTGCTAGCTCCTTTGCTATGAGCTGAATATCGTTGTTTAAATCATCATCTTTATTTTGACTTGTATGTCTCGCATCATCAGTCAGATCAATCATGTCATCAGTTAGATTAGCATCTTCACAAAAAATGGTAACTAGCTTTCCTTCTCTTTTTTGTTTACTCCATCTAAAAAAATGTACTTGAAGCATGAAGGTAAATTCAAAATATTTATCTTAAAACTCAAGAAAAGAATAAAATTAAATTTTATATCATTCATACTTTGGGTATCAGTAAATATAGAAGTAAATTTACTCGCCTAGAGAATAATGATCGAATTTGTTGAGTTGTCACATATTCACTTGGCTTTAACTTTGTCCTCAGCTGCTGGTGAACCTGCTCTGGGCTCATTTTTTTCCCTTGTTCTTCTCCAGACATAAACATCTGCATTAACAATGTTTTCTGCTTTGAAGAATATCTGAACACTTTTCTTTTTGGTAATGCCCACCCAGTGATGTCTGTGAAGTTTTCAATCCCTTTAATGACAGATTGGGATGACGGCAGATAATCATAAGAATTTAGGTTTGAAATTTTCATTTTGTCGATATAAGATAGTTTTGCTCTGTCTACCATTGATTTCTTCACAGATTAAAAATTGTGGTTTTCTGATAACAAGTGTACTTCTAATGATTCATTGTCAAAAAATGAATCAGTGCAACCAAATTGTGTACAAAACTTTAAAGTGTTAACTCTTCTATCAACACGTGGTTTTTTGGAAATTGTTGGAGCAGTATAAATTTTGCAAGTCGAACTAAAGGGCTTAACAGTTTCAACTGAAGTATGGAATGTTACATTTGTATAGTTCCATTTTTTACCTTTACCAATTCGGAAGTATCTCCACATTATCATGTGATCAGGGAAAAACTGAAAAGAATGATAACTGCTTATGTTGGGAATCAGATTTGATCCTGATAAAATAGAGGCTTTGGAATTTATTATAACTACAGCAACATCAGCGTTTTGAATTCCTTTACCATTATGAAGAGCCTCATAAAGATCTTCTGCAGTCAATAAATTGTTTCCTGCGTCAACAAAACTCCTAATGACACATTTCGCTCCTGCTGACTCTCTATCACATTGATCTTTTCCACGCGAAGGCTCGTTGTAATCATACCTTTTAAGGAAAAATTGTTTTGCTTTGCAAACATTGTAAAGGGCTTCTAAGTAGAAGTTTCCATGACAAGATGATGCATTATCTGACTTAGCATAAAGATTCTTTAAATAAGGAAAATCATTTTTAACTTTGGCCAAAACAACATCAGCGAGACAGAGTACATCAACAAGGCTTTGCTCACATCTATATACAGCAGTAAAATACACTTTTTTTTTCATTCGACCATTTTCATAGAAGAAAAAGACATCAACATGTAGAGTCATTCCTTTTTTCCCAAAATATTCTTTTTGGCCTTCACGGAATTTAGCGGGCAATGTTTTTTGACAAAAATCCTTTAGCCAAAATCCTGTTTCCTCATCAAGTTGCTCAAAAGCCATTATTTTGGCCATTTTTTGCTGCGCATCACGAATTTGATGTTTCATATAGGCTTCAACATCTTCTGTAGCCACATTTAAATCATATAGTAGATCTTCATCTTCACTTTGTATAACCAACTCACGAACCAATTTGATTACTGAAATGAGGTCAGTACAGTCAATGCATTGTTCATCGTCAGCGGTTATGTTTGATTGGTTTAAGTCCGGATCTATATCCGAAAGGGCAAATGAAGTTGAGTGACTATGCAAAGTTGAATTTCCACTACATTTGGAAGGATAATTACTCTTCAGATACCTTTTACCTTTTTCAAGAAACTTAGTAACATTTTTATATTTCCACTTCTTAGAAATGGCAATTAATGTTTGGAAACCGTTCATGCCAGCTGCTGTAACATCATCAAGACCAGCTAAAGATTTCCTTTGAGAAGGTTTTATTCCACAAAGGATTCTCCATAAAGAACTATCTGACATAGGGACATAATTAGTTTCTAGGCAAATTTCTTTATAAAATGTGATTGTATGGCTAAACTTCATCATCAAAATGGCATTAGCCACTTTTTGTTTCTCTCCGTTGTCAAACTTTATTTTATTTATACCATATGCTACATCTTGAAGCAGACCTCAAGAAAATAAAAATTCCAAAAAATGTTCAATTTTTTCTTTAGGCATTCGGCATATTTTTACCTTACCCTTCTTTGGTATGGAAAGTCCAATGTTTTCTTTCTGCAACTTGCGTCCTTTTTCTATTTGATGTTTTTTGCAATCAAAGACTTTCATTAATGTCTCTTTAGTGTACTTATTATGATTAACAACTGAAAGCAAAAGAATTT